AATATTTAAAAATTTAAACTAATATTAAACTATAATATGAATATGGTAATTGAAAAAAAAAAGGAAAAAAAAAAAAGAGAAACTAAGAGGTATACTTGCACTAAATCCAACGGTTAGTATTACAATTCAATATCTAAGGGTGTAAAATAGAATGAGGGAATGGTGCCTTCACGGCACTGTAGAAGGCCCTGTATCCTTTAACCATTTATATTATCGGAAGATGTTACGGTCCCGTTACGAAATCCTTTCGTTGGATTTGTAATCGTTAGATCGATGATCTAACGGTTACAAATCCCGACGGAATAGTTCCGTAACGGGACATTGAGAACAAAACAAACAGTCCATTTCCGTACGAAGAATAATCATCTAGTCTTATAAGGCGGCGCTGCCGCTGCCTCACATGCCTTGTTCGAAGAAAACTGACATTTCCAAATCCAAATACATATATATGTGTGGTCATTCTACCATTTTTTTTAAAAAAAAAAACTTAGATTTACTTATATAGCATTCTGAACAATAGTCACCAGCAATCAAAACAGCAGAACAGAAAAATGGAGAACCTCGAAAAAAAGATATTCGAAGCAGCTTCAACCGGGGACGTGTATTTACTGAAGACTCTGCTAAAACAAGACCCGCTTATTCTAGACAGAGTTTCTTTAAACAATTTAACTGAATCTCCATTGCACGTGGCCACCATTTTAGGTCACGCCGATTTCGTAAATGAGATCTTGATGATAAGTCCTCGCCTTGCGGGCGAGGTGAATTCCCAGCGTTCGACACCTCTGCACCTGGCTTCCGGTAATGGCCACGTGGACATTGTTCGGGCCCTGCTAAATGTTGATCCTGGCCTATGCACCGCCCGCGACAAGAATGGGTTCACGCCACTTCATCTAGCGGCGGTTAAGGGCCGTGTCGAGGTATTGAAAGTGCTGGTTGAGAAGAAACCGGACGCGGCCCTGATAAGTGCTTACAGAGGAGAAACCATTTTGCACTTGTGCGTGAGATATAACCAGCTGGAGGCTTTGAAGGTCCTGGTAAGGGCCGAATATGGGCCCGAGTTAGTGAATGCTAAAGATGATGAGGGTAATACTGTCCTGCATTTAGCTGTGGCGGATAAGCAAGTTGAGGTATGACAAATTAAGCTTTCGTTTTACCCGTTTATATTTTGATTGTGCTGAAATTTCTATTTTATGCCAAGATATATATGTCAGAATTTTTTTTTGTTACGTACTATTTTTTTTTTTTTGTCGAACAATAGACTATCCATAGAAAAAACACATAATTATATACTAGAGAGCAGCTAGATAGCCGAATAAGTCAGCTATTCAGCGAATCTAGTTGAGAGGACTAACCCCAAAGACAACAAGCCGAGACAGCCTATAACCAACCTAAACACATCACTCAAACTCACCTACAATACAAGAAAAAAAAAAAAACTCCTAACGGGAGAAAAACCTACTCCCAACAGGAGAATAATTGACTCCCAACAGGAGAATCGAAATCTAAACAAACAAACAAACATACCTAAACGAACAAAAGCACAACAATATCTCACAAACACAACCTACTAACACTTAACTAAAGCAAAAAATAAAAACACCCTTCTCCCAGCAAAAGAAACCACCAAAGTCGACAACGGCGACGCCAACAAGTGTCTGATGTAGGGAAGCGTATACGAGTAATATTCTCTCGTAAAACACGCAAAACTCACAGTATATCTAATCTTATTTCATTTCAATAATCAACTCCCCAAATGACAAATAAGAATGAGTTTTTAAATAAGACTCATAAAGCCCTAAACCTAACTTGTTCACAAACCTACTAAATAATAATAATAATAATAATAATAATAATAATAATAATAATAATAATAATAATAATAAAACTATCCGCATCATTCTCTTCCGGTTCGGAAGGCTTCGCCCTCGAAGCCGCACCAAACGCGCCGACACCGGATTCGTACCCATGGCAATCATCGTCCGGCGTTTCCCCCTATCAATCACGAAAGTTGAATGTATCTCAACGTCCACTCTAGCCGACCCACACAACATAGGACCCTTACTTCCAACCGAAACATCCCCGGGCATCATAAAACTAAAAAATTCAACACCACCTGAATGGTCAATAACTTGACGTGTCAGAATCGCCCATCGTCATCTTCCATTGCCTGTGCCAGTTCAATTGCATTTTGCTTAACCTCAGGATGTAGCAAACAAATAATTGCATCTACCAGTTTGTGAAGTGAAAAATCCTCGACTGGGATTGGAGCAGGACCTACGCCCCTGACATGCACACTCTCTCCCAGAAAACGTTGGTTACAGTCTTTGTTGGTGTTGTTGTAAAGAGAATTACACTCCACACTGAAATGCTCCGGCCCCGGAGGCTTCTCATCGAAAATAGGCGCACTGTCGTACAATAGTCTTCATCTTCCTCAAAAACCACACCTTGTTGCCGCACATCTTGGCCGTCGTGCGCAACAAAAAGCTCAGTGTCGACGGACGGAGGCAGCCACTCTCTGAAAGGATTCACCTCCGAGATGGTCTCCTCGCCGTCTGAATTGTCGGACGGCTGTTGCAGAGATCGCCGACGGGGCGCCTCGCCTGGACAACGACCTCCACTTCCTCCGTGAACTCCCCCGCGCATACCCCGGTCGCTAGCGACACGGTTCATCTGTAAATCCCAGACCACGTTGTTAAGCGTCAAACACAATTTCTCGATCCCCGTCGAAAGATCTGCAAACCAATCCATGAAACGCACGTCCAACTGTTGAAATTGGTAGTCGATCTGTTGAAACCGATCGTTGAAGGTTGCATCACGTCGTTTGTTTGCGGCATCTTGTCATCCCGACAACATCGCGAATTGTACTGACTGCTGATACCAACTGATATATAGAAGCGTACGAATGGGAATGATAAACGAGTAAACGAGATGCTCTCTCGTAAAACACGCAAAACTAACAATATCTAATCTTAATTCATTTCAACAATCAACTCCCCAAATAACAAAGAAGAAGGAGTCTTTAAATAAGACTCCTAAAGCCCTAAACCTAACTTGTTCACCAATCTACTAAATAAAAATAATAATAATAATAATAATGATAATAATTATTATTATTATTATTATTATTATTATTATTATTATTATTATTATTATTATTATTATTATTATTAAACTATCTGCATCAGTGCCCTTCCACGCGGACTAACCCCGAAAGTAGACCCAGAAACAACCACTAACGCTTAACTGGACCAATACCGAAGATCAACCCAAATCCAGATAGCCACCCAGACCCGTACCCCGGAACCACCCATCACCCACCACCGTCAAAGACAATACCTCCTACCCTGACAACCAGAGCCCAGATCTCGGCCCGACTTCACCGCTCATCCCCTCTAACCAGCACCAGAGTCGGACGGGACACGCAAAGGTGATGGGCGAAAAATACCTCCTTGAATCCCGACGAGAGGACCAAAGTCGCTGCCCCTTCCCATAAAAACGCCCGAAGGCCTTCTCAATAAAGCCGGCAAGAGAACAGCACCCTGCCACGCCGTCTTAGCAACCAGAAAGTGACGAGATCTAGTCGGGGGATGAGCGACGCCTCCACCAGAGGAACAGCTCCATCTCATGACGATCCACCCAGAATTGGGCCGCGAAGCACAAGGGTACCGCCGTGGGGGCTCTAGAGCAACGCCCCACTAGGGGAAGGCTCCAGAAATCACAAGAAGATACGGCGGCAATTAGGTTTAAGGGGAGAGGAAAAGAGGGGAGCAATTGGTTGTACTAATTTTACTATTTTATTTTTCATAAATAAAAGACTTAAAAATTTCTAGAACTATTTTAAGGTGAATAAGAAATTAATTCTAAGTGATATATGAGGAATAATTGAGTTTAAGTAACTCAAAGGTTGTAGGGTTCACTAACATTCAGTTTTTTGACAAATATTTGGACAAACTAAACGAGCTATAATTATGCATTATGTATACTATAATTGTAAAAGGGCTCGTAGGAGATGGGTAAGGAAAAACGAAACATGATTCTAAAAAGGCACGATGGCTTGTTCTGCCTAGCGGAAGGGCTCGATGAACACGCGGCAGTGACACACCTTTTCGTGCCAAAAAGACTCATACTCAGTGTTTGTCGGCCGGGCACATCCCGAATGCTGTCTTTTGATTCTTTGAACCCCCTGGATATGTATTAGAACATCAATAAACTCCCATGAAGTGAAATGGCTATATATATAAGATTTTTAAGAGCTCTTTGAGTCCTTTTAAAAAATTTATTAAGCATCGTGTGTTCTTTGCATTCGTTTGTATCATGAGAGTTCTGAAATTTGAGTATTGCTCGCTAAAGATTTGTGTATTTGAGTTACTGTTATACAAAAATCGAGAGCCGTTGTATCTTGGAGGCGTTAGTTGTGAACCATCAGTAATATAAAGGGCTATTTCGTCTTAAGAAGAGCATATCTCACATACCTCGACTTTATTCGTTTTACTTCTAATTTCTTAAGCCATTTTCTTGAGATTCACTTACACAATTCCTATAATCTTTACATGAAATATTTATGAGTTCATAAGATGGCAACTGAAGGAAACCAAACTTCTTTTTCAAGTGCTCAACCGACCGCAATTCCGACTACTAATCCTTTCAATGGTAATCGCTCCCGTCCAAGGAGAGAGAGCTGATGTTCAATGGCTCTGATATCAAGAGGTGGGTGGAAGCAAAATATGTTTTTCTACCTCACAACTTTATCCCTCTCTCGTTTTCTTCCGGAGGGCCCTTTAGCCATCCTCGAAAGTGAGATCGACTTCAAAAAGTGTATGGCCTCGGATGCTTGGCATCAAAATGATTACTTGTGTAAAAATTACATCCTTAATGGACGACTCTTTCTACAATCTCTATAGTCTGATTAAGAAGGCGAAGGAGTTATGAAATTCCTTAGAGGTGAAGTACAAAACGAAAGATGCCGGGATTAAGAAATTTATCGTTGGCAAATTTCTAAATTACTTAATGGTTGATAAAGTCGGTGGTTAGCTAAGTCCAAGAGATTCAAATCATGTATCACGATTTGTTGTTCGAATGGTTGATTGTCAATGAGGCCTTCAAGTTGTGGCTATTGTGAAAATTATCGCCACTTTGGAATGACTTCAAAAATTATCTCATGCATAAACAAAATTAGATGACTTTGGAGGACTTGATTGTTCGACTTCGGATCGAGGAAGATAATCGGAAATCGGAAGTAAGGGCCAATCCTTTACTGGCTCTTCAATCCTTATCTCATTCAGTCCCATTTGAACCTTGTTTTCGTCAGAGTCAGAAGGGGAGTCTGAAACAGCCTTACTCTTTGAGTTAAGATGAACTTGGTCGAGTCAAACTCCAATAAGAAGCCCACGTGAACTTCAAGTGGCAAGCAACCAAAATCAAGCACCAAGATGTTCAAAGGGAATTTCTACAATTGTGGTAAACTCGGGCATCTAAGATTGTCGTCTCTCGAAGAGGGGTAAATATAGCGTGCATATTTCTGAGGATAAATCTATTCCCATTGACTTATTTGTGCTCCATCTCACCATCGTGGTCCAAGAAGTTAACTTGGTTAATAATCCACGAGAATGGTTGGTCGAAATAGAAGCAACTTGGCATATTTGCGCGGACAGAGATATGTTGTCGTTTTATACCACTATTGACAGAATGAAGCTATTCATGGAAACTCTTCGACATAAAACATCATGTGAATGGGCAAAATGGTGGTTAAAATAACATCAGGAAAAGACTTGACGCTAATGGAGGTGTTGTATGTCCCAGACATCCGTAAGAACCTTATATCCGGTGCTCTTTTAAGCAAAGTCTGTTTTAGATTAGTCTTTGTGGCTGATAAATTTGTAATGACTAGGAGTTGTGTCTTTTTAGTAAAAAAGGTACCTAGATGAGGGCCTTTTCAAGATGAATGTAATGAAAGTTATCCGCCAAGAGGTGAAGAACAAAGAAAATATTTCTTATTTGTTTGAGTGCTTTAATTTGTGGCATGATAGATTAGAACATGTGAACTTTAACATAATTAAGAGGTTGATTAATTTGGAATTGAAACCAAACGTTAAAATAGAGTCTTACAACAAGTGAGAAACATGTGTTGAAGCGAAAGTGGCTAAAGCATTGTTTAAACTAATGACGAAAAGCACTAGTCAACTTGAGTTAATTCACTTTGACATATATGATCTAAAGTTTGTGCAAACTCGAGCAGGGATGAAGTATTTATTTATATTCATAGATGATTGTACAAGGTATTGTTATATTTATCTACTAAAGAGTAGAGACGAGGCGTTAGAGGACTTTCAGACTTATAAAAACAAACTTGAGAATCAACTGAGTCGAAAGATCAAATGATTTGAAATGATAGAAGAGGTGAGTATGTATCCCCGTTTGAAGTGCTCTGCAAATAGTCTGACTTAAACGATGGCTCTATATTGACCACAATCTAATGGAGTGGCTGAGAGAAAGAATCGGACACTAAAAGAGACGATGAATGCACTTTTGATAAGTTCAGGCTTAACTTAAAACTTGTGGGTGGAAGCTGTTATTTCGGTAAACTATAATTTGAATAAAATACCACAAAAAAGTAACGACAAACACCATATGAGTTATAGAAAGGTTACAAATCTACCTACAAATACTTATAAGCGATGGGGTGTTTGGCACAAGTTGAAATACCTAAACCAAAACAAGTAAAAGTTGGACCGAAGAGTATTGATTTTATATTTATTGGTTATGCAATCAATAGTAGTGCATACCATTTTCTGGTGAAAAATAGGAAAGTTTAGAGATTCACAACGGAACAAATATTGAGTCTCCAAATGTGGTGTTTGAGAATAATTTTTCTCCTAAAGACAAGGAAGAAACAATCCGGAGAAAATAACTTTGGAATAGGCCAAGCTACCTCAAGAAATTGAGGATGAGGCAAGGCTTATTAAGAGGATAAAAGTAGTTAAGTCTTGTTGCCTTAAATATCTAACTTATGTGTTAGAGAACAAACCAGAACCATTCGGGAGGCTTTGACAAGTCCGAAAGCTCTTTTTTTTTTTTTGGAAAGAAGCTATCAATAGTGAGATTGAATCCATTATTCACAATAATACTTGGGAGTTGGTTGATCTCTCACCGGGTAGCAAACCTTTGGGATGTAAATAGATCCTTAAAAAGAAATATAAAGTTGATGGAAGCTTTGATAATTATTAGGCATGATTGGTTGTAAAAGGATTTAAGCAAGCAGAGAGATATTATTTCTTTGATACATATTCTCTTGTAACTCGAATCACGTTTATACGTGTTCTCATTGCAGTTGCAGCAATACATGACCTTGAGATTCATCAAATGGATGTAAAAACGGTCCTCTTAAATGGCACGAAAAGTTCAACAAAGTAATGTTGACTTCTTTCATGGTCCTGATCCTGAAGTGTTTATTCACTTCAAAATCTTGGTTGAACTCAGTCAATATTAAAATAGTTCAAAGTGACTGGGGGTAGAGTTTAGAAATCTTGGCTCTATATTCACTAAATTTGGGATTAATAATAGGCTCTCTTGCCCTTATACTCCAGCTCAAAATGGGATAGCTGAGAGGAGACATATAACAATATTTGAAATGGGTCTTGCTCTTCTTTATCACTCTCATGTTTCCTTGAAATTCCGGGATGATGCTTTTACTGTTGTTTATACTCTCAGTAAACTTTCTGTCAAGGCTCTGGAATTTATTTAACCCTTACGTTATATGGCCACATACCAAACTACAAAACTCTAAAAATGTTTTGCTCTCTTTGTTATCCTAATCTAAGACCCTGCAACAAACAATAACTCCAATCAAGGTCTCTCCCTTCTAATTTTCTTAGCTACAGTTTTAAGCATAAGGGTTACAAAGCTCTTCTTCTTTCATGTAAGGTCATTGTTACTAGAGATATTATTTTTTATGATCATCATTTTTTCTTTTGCAAAACCACAACCTCTTACACTGATAAAAACAATATCTCCTCCTTTATACATATTTCACCTCACATATTACTTTCACATGGAGCTCATACTCCTTCAAACCCACAACATTCATCTCAGTCCACTTCCAGTCATTCATGACCTTATACCTCTCCAGTTCAGAATGCAGATCCTTCCTCATCATTTTTTACTTTACCTAACAACTCAAGTAACAGTCCTCTTCATACAAACTCGAGTGTTCCACTTATTGTTGAGTTGCCAATCGTGAATAAAAATACATCACAACCAAGATTTTAAATAGCGGGATAAAACGTTTATGGCACTGTAGCTATAGCGGAGCTATAGCAGAGATTTAGCGAGATTTAGCGGCTAAATTGCACATGAATACAATAGCGGCACGCTGCCAAAAAAAGCTATTTCTCAAATAGCGGCAACTTGAGCGAGCTATTTATTTCCTTGATCACATTATGCACTCTTCTCATAATTCTACTAATGCTTCTCATGCATCACCGCCAGCTAATCATATGGTTACAAGGTCAAAAATAGGATCTCTGAAGCCAAGGACCTTTCTTACTCATCTCGATGAAAGGGAACCATCAACAAATAAAGAGGCTCTTGAACATTCAAAATGGAAGCAGGCTATGATCACAAAATATCAAGTTTTTCTTAGCATTCCACCTGGTCCATCGTCAATGCTCCCTCTAATAGGTCCATCTTTGGTAGCAAATGTGTTTTTAAACTTAAGAGCGATGTTTTAAATATCGTACCGTATCGGTCGGTGTTACCGGTAATACAGTATACCGTGGTCCGACCGTTATGGTTACCTTCTAAATACCGTTTGACCACAATATCGGTTTATACCAGTTTCATACCAGAAAACACTGGTTTTACCGGCAAATACCGGCCAAAAATATCAGTCAAAATACCGGTCTATACCAGATTTTTTAAAAAAAAAATATATATTTTTTAATATATTTAATTATTTTATTTATATTAATTGAAAGTTCTACAATTAATTATAATTAAATATATTTACATTGTTATTAGATGTTAATTAATTTTAGTAGTTATCAAAGTTAGTTTTGTTCATTATTTATCAAAAAATCGTCGAAGCCATGCGCACGTACTGTCGACAGGATCTGAGCCTTCCAGTAATGAAAATTTGTGCGATCCAAAAGAAGAGGAAGAGAATTGAGGTGAGGAAGGAAGGGTGACGTCACAGGATCGACCATGGTTGGGGGAGAGAGAGAGAGAGAGAGAGAGAGAGAAAGAGAGAGAGAGAGAGTGGGGGAGGGAAAAAATTATACTGAATGTGATACCATGTTAAGCATAATGCTAAGCCATGGATGAATGAAGAAGATGATGTGTGTATTGAATGATTGAGAAGTAAATGTACGAGATATATAAACAACGGAAGCTCTCTCTCTCTCTCTCTCT